ATATATATTAATATATTAATATATAGTAGAGACCCTTTTTACTATAAGATAATCATATTAATATTTCTACTTGATCAAATAAAGAACGGGGCTTTTAGCTGTTTCAAAGTTTTCATATTAATTTGGGTTAGGGTTATTTCAGAGACAATATAACTCATTAGGCATTTTGCATAGTAATATTTTGATTGTTTTTTAAAGTTTCAAAAACAATAGTAAACTCTTGAAATGTAGATCTCTTTCCATTTTTCCCAATATCAACAATATATGGGGGCTATTCGAACATTTCATTTATGTAGATCGTGAATATTCAATGAATATTCGGTACAACATATCAAATTAGAAATACTAAAATATATGGCCGCCCAATCGTGTTTCGGGCATGTGACCTAACTTTTATATTCGAATTTATATTGTTTATTTCATATAAATTGATTTTAAAAGAGAATATTAACGTCACTTTTTTGATCAAGTGAAAGGACAATCAATCAGCCGTTTAATTAAAATTTTATATTAATATTTCGGGTCTTGTTTATAAGAGTAGAATTTCTTTCTATTTGTAATACAAATTATTATTCGTTTTTCTCGTTTTATTCGAAATACTCGTTTTACTCGGTCTATTCGTTTTATTTGTTTATTCAAATTTTCGCTGATTTATTCGGTTTATTCGAATTACTCGTTTTATTCGTTTTATCAAATTATTCGTATTTGTTTATCTAATTATTCGTTTTATAAAAATTACTATTTAAACATTGTGCATGGCTTTTGTTTATTAAAATCATTAATTGATGATTCGTCTATGAATCAGAGAAATGCAGATCAATTTATTATAAAATACGGGGAAAATTTCATGATCGACAAAAATATATATATATTCATATTCATTCAATCAATTAAATTTAATATTCGGATATTCAATCATTAAATTAAATTGATTATTTAGTGAATGATTATTCAGTAAATTATTATTCAATAAATGATTATTCATTGATTATTCAATGAATATTCATCCATTGTTAACAAAAAATTTTAAATTAATTTAATCATTTTACATTCTATCAAAATCATCAATATTTTTTTTTCAAAAAAGCAATCTTTCAAATAAAAGTGGATCAAGTTTTGTTCTTTTGAGATCATC